TAAGCTCAACAAAGCGTACGCTGGAGAGGCTATCAGACAAACAGAATAATACGAAAACGGGGTAAAATGAACTAATTGCCATGACCAGACCAGACCTGACGTCACTGGGAATGGCTCATCGGCGGATTTAATTAAATCCACAGCAACGGTAATCGCGGAGCTTTGTTCTGTTCTGGTAGTGCCGGCGTTGCTACCACACACCCCTGTTTGCTACCACATAGGGTAAGTGTGCCAGGTGTCGGCCCTAGTAGTCCTCAAATTGGCTCTATTATAAATTTCACACTTTTTCATTATTTTCATAATTTATTTCGATACAAGGTTAGAACATGTATTTCGATATATATCTAAGCAAATAAAACCATGAACATTTATTTAAGATCCTAGCGCCAAAAACTGGAGCACTAGTGCCAAAATTGGCATATTTACCCTATATATAAATACATACGGAACGAACCGGAGTTGATGACGTGCTTCCCTTTTAAACCACGTATTGCACGTCCGTAAAAGGCGGACTAGGGTTGATACAATCACGCTATGTGAATGGCACCGGTGGGAAATGTGGTTTATAGCGTGCCATACATTGATATGAAACTTTGGGCGACTGCACTAGGGTTTGAAATTTGTCTAACATAGAATTGAATGAATTTATTCATTTTTAAGTTGCCGGATTTCAATGTTAAAAAAATACGGGAATGCTGTGAGGATATCCAAGAATTTGAGTAAATTTTGTATGATCAGTTTCCCACAGTGCCGCTGAAGCTGTCTGCATGCAACCACTCCTTCTATGTATAAGCACAACCCAAGCCAGCGGTATAGCAAAAAGCGGTTTTGTACCAAGCCCCCGGGATCTTAGCTATAGAAATCCTTTCGTTCTCCGATACATACAAAAATGCAGTGCACGATTGTATCCTTTTTTTATTTCCTATAAAATAACGAGGCTTGAATGTGAGCCGGTTAATCCATCGGAAAGGAAGTGCGATATGAAAGAACCATTTTCCAATGTGCTTTCCACCATTGTTAAGCCTACACCTCCACCTCAATACAATGTGTGGCAGCCGCCTATTCTCAGTTGCAGTTCAGCTGGAAAGCATCCTCTTGGCTGAATCGTGTTTCAATTATGTTCTCGGTACGTACTCTTTCTCTTTGGCTCCAAGGCGGAAAGTTTATTTTCTGTATGAATTAGGTATCAAAATTAATAGAGCTCCTTTTTTCTACTTCTGAGCTTTTCATTCTTGGTAGGTCCCACCGAAAATATAAAAAGATCGGTTCGTTCGAATTTTTCGCTTCCCTAATAGGTATGTATAAAGCAGAAGCACAGTGAGCTATGAAAGTTCAGCTGGAACTCCTACTGTGCTTGTTTTTTTTTAAAGACGAAAATATGCTTTCCGAGAATAAATGCGGATTCGTGGCGCCTAAGAGGAGTAATGGTTCTTTACAGCATCTTCGATGTGCGTCTTATGTGGTGTATGCGGTATGGTGAATTTCCTTTGACTCGTTTATACCAGTAGAGAAAGGTGATCTTCGAAGAAATATTGAGGCTTTGAATATTTGATTGGTTCGATTTAAGTTATTGTATTTTTTTTAAATAAAACAAAAAAGAGAATATGTAGTTGTTTAACAATAAGGAAAACATAAAATTTGCAGAAAAATAAACGTATGAAATTTGTCTTTTAGACATTTTTATATCTAAAGCTATTACATAATTAAGCAACGTTAGGCATAAATACATCCCAAGAGTAATGACAAGTTTTATCGAGGTTTCAAAACCTGTCAAACTTTTTTATTTCAATGGTTGTATGTTTGCTCGATGAATACGTGCCATGCTGCATTTTGTTTATTTTTTTAATAACACTGACCTGAAATTACTGTTAAACTATAGCGTGATATTTTATGTTGCTCCATTCAGTTCAATTTCCAAATCAACATAGCTTCAATGCAGAATTCAAAATTTAGTTACAATCATACATATACTTATTACGCTAAAACTTGCAATGTAACTTGGGAGTCCGATACCTTGAATAGTTCTCTTAAAATTTGCACTGTAGGCATTTTAATATTTTTTTTTAATTTTAGAACCTTCACAACTTTTTCATGTCACTAATTTTAGAAAAAAATGTCTATTTCTGGGATATTGGATGCACGTCCATAGAAGATTTTTGTCACATACCTTACAGTTACACCTTTCTTAAATTTCTATCTCAACTCCGTGATTGAGTTGCAATATAGAAGACTATCGTTTAAAAATTCGTTCGACAACGGTAGGCTTTAGATAGTGATGAACATCGCTAGAACTATCTCCTGCCGCAGACAGTATATGAGCAAGTCAGACGCGCACTCTTTTGCCGGTGGATTTGAGGAAATGCCTCAAATCCCCTCACCCATCAACTGAAATAGGCAAAGGAGTGCGCCTTTGATTAGTATTTGTCGTATCAATGGCCCTTCGCTCAATTTCAACTTCTGTTAATTTTTCTTTCACACTGCCGTACTCTCACGGAAATATCAATCTATCCTTTTCAGAATATTCTGTAGCTAATAAATTATCGCACTATCATGCGGACTTTTTCCGGAAGACCGATCATCGTATATTTTATTCATGCGACAGACTGGACCCAGAAATAGTGCTGAAACAGATAGCACATGTGCATCAGCTTCGGGAGCTTTGAGAATCGAGGGGTGTATCGCATCGATCGCATGATCCACTGCTTACTAGTCCTTACCATTAATGTTCGGGGCCAATGATGGGCATTTGCCGCGCATTTTCACCAGATGTTCGCCAGTTTATATGGAAATGCCCATGGGAAAAGTGAACTTTATGTCCGAATGAGCTCAAATTTTGTGAGAATTACCAGGACCTGATCTGAAATCAATTAGCTTGGTGGAGCAAAATCAATATTTTTAACCACTGTAATATCTATTCTAGGGGAAATGGATGTAATGTCGGCCTAAATGCCCCTAATTTGGGCCCATACATAAATTCAGCAAACGACTAAAAATATCCATTAGTACCGTCCCAATGACGCGTTCATCTATATAAAATTGATAAATAGCAGATTTTTAGCGATTGGCCCAATCTTAGATCCATATGCCAACATTGAGCCATTTCCCCTATGTAACAGATTCTATCGTTTCATTTAAAAAAAAATATCATTTATTCTCTTAAATATATACAGCAACAACAACTAATATTATTTGTATGCTCCTGTCACTAAATGTTCGATTTTCTTATCTTTTCAGGTATGTCGAAAAATGAATTGCAGTAATGAGGTAAAACATAACAACTTTTTTTTCCAACGAAAACCTTTGAGCGGCAGATGACGCGACTGTGTCTGGTTGTTAGTCTTCTTGATATTTTTTTTGTCATTTACTTTATGTGTACAGACTCAATCTAATAAACTTTACAGAGTCAAGTTATAATTTGTGTTATACATTATTGATGTGTTAAATCTAATGTTAAAGAAATTGAACCGCGGTTAATGGGTAACAATTTCGATTGGAAGGAGCTTGGTAGGAAACTGGTTTCTGAAGCCTCCTTCAGATACTACTCTCGGACGGTTGACCAAATCCTGGCTGGGCAGGGGCAAGTAGCACAGAAACAGGAGGATAATAAGACTGGGACACAATGGCTGGAAATTGTTTGGAAAGGAGGCGATGGTCACATCAAACTCTAACATCAGACAAACAAAGGAATTCGTAGATTGCCTGCATGTAGGGAAGATCTCGGGTTCCCAATACATCTCTTACTTCACGGAACGGTTGCCTACATCGGGCCACAAGGGTATCCAACAGTCGTGCTCTGGAGGCGTCATTACCCGGGCAATACCAAACTGCGTGATCGATTTCATCATAACCGGTTCTACATCTACATATATTGCTGTCAACGAGGTTTATTCTGTAGAGATGTGCGTCTAGCAAGTAGTGGTTGGACATCACGCGAATGAAGCCCCGACTTACATCTAGACTATTCAACTTGATATCAGCTATTACAATTATTGCAAAAAAAAAACTTTCCGTTTTGGAATTGGTGGCCCTGAAAAGGGCCGATTGTTTTCTCGAATGGCGGTTATTTGTTTTTTTCTTCTTCTGGTGTACTTTTGATCGTTTGGGACGGCTACCATGTAGCTGATGAAAAAATAGTGATAGGGAGTATAGGCCGATGGTAAGAGAAATAGGTGATGAATACTTTATATCTAAGATCTGGAATATGTAGCGCAAAGGTCGTGAGTGGTCGGAACAACTGTGTTTGCTCTTTTTTTTTTTTTTATTATTCGAAAATCTATTATCTTAACTCCATCTATATTTGAATTGGTGGCCCTGAAAAGACCGTATGTTTGTTGGCCCTGAAAAAAGCCTTTTGGTTTTCAAATGGTGTTGTTGTTTATTCCAACGAATAAACTAAACACGAAACACGGTCTTTTAGCAAACGAGCTTAAGCTGGAATTATTTATTTTTATTAGTTTAGATATTCGGTTAATATTGTGTAGTGTAGACTTACAATTCAGTGTAGGCTTCGTATTTTAGGTTAGGCTCGCTAACAATAGAATTCAATATCGTACTATGGGCTGTAAGTACATAACTTTTATAAATTTTACATTTTCATCTGCATATTGTTTTTCTTTAAGTTTTACTCACAATTATACGTCAATTTAATTAATCAAATTTTAGGTATTTGGTACTGCGATTTCTAGCGCGATTAGTTCGCACCTATGATAAATTATAATTAATTGTTTATGTAAGAATATATAGTAATTTTAAGTTACGTTCTTACGTTATCCAGCTGAAATCACTTTGACGTACGGAAATAGCCTCAGCTTACTGTAGTAATACGATTACGTATATAGTGTTAGGAATATTAATAAATTCACTGTATTATTTAATTTCATCTGCCTTCCACGCACTATCTATCACGCATTTAATAGGGCTTTGTTCTCTATTTCCTGAGTTTCTGATGTTCGCCCGTCATCACCGTTTGGAATTAATTCTGCAGAGTTGGTACTATGATACTAACCAGCGTTGCCAGCTTGTACGGCAACATTCCCGCCCCCGTAACACTGCGTATCCGGAGCAGTTTTACTTGGATCGCTGACGTCTAACACGGCCAACTTGCTGACTGGTCTTCTTAAGAATCCCGTGCTCGTCTGAACTGTAGCTCGTCGTACCCGACCATCGGGCCCCGGCTGTACTTCCATTATTCGTCCCCGTATCCAGTTGTTCCGTTTGCTACTATCCGCAATGAGCACTAGGTCACCTACTTCAGATCTTTTGGTATCGCTGAACCATTTCGTACGCCTACAAATCGTTGGCAGATACTCCCTCAACCAACGACGCCAGAAAATGTCTAGCTGATGTTGGATCTGCTTCCAGCTGTTTAGGACTGCCTCCCGCTGATCCGTGGGGTTCGCAACTGGTTGCTTGACCCCACTGGAGCTTCCAAGCAGAAAATGATTCGGCGTTAGGGCCTCCTGCTCTTCTGACTCCAAAGGCAGATAAGTCAACGGTCTAGAATTGACGATACTTTCCGCTTCGACTAGTAATGTCTGAAACCCTTCGTCGTTAAGCTTTCTTCCGGTGTCGATACTTTCTATGGCGGTTTTTATAGAACGAACCAGCCTCTCCCAAGCTCCACCCATATGCGGAGCTGAGGGTGGGTTGAAGAACCATTTGGTATTGGCATTGGTAAATGTTTCCGCCAGACCGTTGCCGATCTGTTTTCGAAGCTCCCTCTCAGCACCTTGGAAGTTGGTTCCATTGTCACTATATACTTCCACGGGGGCCCCTCGACGCCCAACGAATCGGCGAAAGCACGTGATGCAGCTCTCGGAACTCAAACTATGCGCGACTTCGAGATGGACTCCGCGAGTGGTGAGACACGTAAACAGTGCCACCCAACGCTTTGCGTGACTGCGCCCAACCTTCACTAACATCGGACCGAAATAGTCCACTCCAACGTATGAGAAAGGGCGTTCAAAAGATGCTAATCTGGCGGTTGGTAGGGGTGCCATTTTTGGTGTGGACGGCTGTGATTTATAGATCTTACACTTTTGACAAATTCGTGACGTCTTCCGTACTGCTGCTCGAAGGTGAGGAATGTAGAAATTTTGTCTTACCTCATTCACCACCGTTTCGGGATTCGCATGATGGTTTTTACGATGATAGTAATCCAGAAGCAGAGTTGTCACTCGGTGTAACTTCGGCAAGATTATCGGAAACTTCACGTTGAACCCTGTGTTTGCTACCGCTCCAATTCGCCCATCCTGCCTTAGGACTCCACACTCATCGATGTACGGAGACAGTTTATAAATTGGTGATGATTTGTCAACATTTTTCTTATCCGCCTTCAGTTGGGCGATCTCGTCCGGATAGGATTCTTCCTGACAGCGACGCCAAAGAATGTTTTCCGCTCTTTGAATTTCGTCGGAGTTCAACGGTGTTACGTCTCGCTGTTCTTTAGTTCTACGAGCATTTTGAATGAACCGTAGTATGTAGCCTATTGTTCGGAGAAGACGCATCCATAGGGAAAATCGTTCAAACTTCACTAGAGGCTCCAACGTCAAGACTCCGTGCACGAAACATGGTCGAAGCTCCTCCTCTGTACAGACTTTCTGCTTGAAATTCTGTTGTGGCCACTGCTGCTCCGGTTGTTGTAGAAACTCTGGGCCGCGGAACCATTTTCCTTCCGACGATAAGCAAGGTCCGTGCCCCCACTTCGTCGCCTCGTCGGCGCTGTTCATTTTGGTAGGCACCCATCTCCACTCGCTGCTTTCCGATAGCGTGAGAATCTCACCGATGCGGCACGCGACATATTGTCGGTATCTTCGGGCGTCCGACCGAATCCAGGCTAAGACGGTGCTAGAATCCGACCAAAAAACCCTTTTATTTATGGTTCGAGTGTGGCTGTCTTTGACGAAGGACGCAAGTCGAGCCCCAAGGACGGCCGCTTGAAGTTCCAGGCGAGGTATCGATAACGTTTTGAGAGGTGCTACTTTCGTCTTCGCCGAAATTAGGTTGCAGATGACGGTCCCGTCGACAAGAATAAAACGGAAATAAGTTGCTGCACTGTATGCTTCTTCGCTGGCATCTACAAATACGTGTAGCTCTACGGAGTGCAATGAAGTGGAAGCAGTTTGACCAATGTAACAACGAGGAATGCGAATACCATCCACCTGATTTAAGATTCCAATCCATTTTAGCCAACGGTTGAATGCTTCCTCTCCAACTTCCTCGTCCCAGTCTGATCCCGAGCGCCATATCGATTGAATCAAAATCTTTCCATGCACTGTGTACACGGCCAACAATCCGAGGGGGTCAAATAATGACATGACACACCGTAGAACTTGGCGCTTGGTTGGTCGTCTGCCTTCGTCGATGATTGCAGCAATATCATTGCGCACTTGAGTTGAGAATCCCAATTCATCCTCTATTGGGAACCATAGCATACCGAGAACTCTTTCCACCCCGTCGCTTTTATCCAAGTTCAGGTCCTTCACTACCGGAAACACCGTTTCGCCTAGATGGTTGAGTACATCCTGGGAATTGGACCGCCAACGACGGATTTCGAAACCACCCTTTCCATGGATCATTCTCACCTCAGCAGCAACTCGTTGAGCATCCTCGATGTGGTCGAAGCTATCCAGATAGTCGTCCACATAGTGGCACTTGATTATCGCCTCCGCTGCCCTGGGATAGTCGACAGCAAATTCTTCAGCGTTCCGGTTCTTGATGTACTGCGCACTACACGGTGAGCAGCTGGAGCCAAAGGTGGCTACGTCCATGAAATACACATCGGGTTTTTTATTAGAATCCTTCCGCATCAGAAAGCTTTGAGCGGGGCGATCTGCACGTCGTATACGGAACTGGTGAAACATTTCACGTATGTCTCCGCTTACCCCCACGGGCTTCTCTCGAAAACGGCAAAGAACCCCTGGAAGACAGGTCAGCAGATCTGGTCCTTTTAGGAGAACCATGTTGAGAGAGATGCCGTCCACTTTGGCCGCAGCATCCCAAATCAATCGCACTTTGCCAGGTTTTTTGGGATTGGTCACAACGCCGAGTGGTAAATACCATGTTCTGCGTGGGTCAGCATTTGCCAGATCCTCCTCAGTAGCAAGATGAGCATAACCTTTCGCTTGGTAGTCCTCAATCTGTTGGAGGACGTTCTCCTTTAGTGCAGGTTCACGAGACATTCTCCGTTCTAAGCACTCCAATCGACGAAGAGCCATGTGGTAGCTTTCTGGAAATTCGAAGTGATCATATCTCCAGAGGAGCCCAGTTTCAAACCGACCGTCTACACGAACCGTGGTGTCGACCAGAATCTTTTTCGCTCTCGTGTCTTCTACTGATTCCAATTCCACGACAGGTTTAGTTCCTGTATCTTCCTGCTCGAAGTATCGCTTGACTACCTCGTGAAGATCCGTTTCTGGCTGGACTTCCGAGATATGGCAACTGACCCCTACGGTTTTCGCATTACCCCCGCCGTATACACACCACCCGAGTCGCGTTTTTGTGGCTACTGGTTCTCCTTTGTGCCCTTCCCGGCATTTCAGCGGCATTGACAGGTTCAATTGGTCCAAGCCAATAAGCACGCGTGGCACAGCGTTTTCGTATTTCGCTATCGGTAGTCCTGTGAGGTGGGTGTATTGAAAGGAAAGTTGTTCCGGATTCAACGATTGTATTGGAAGGTTCAGCTCTGACACAGTTCTGGCTGACTTGACTTGGAATGATTTTCCACTAGATATTCCCGAAATTTTGAAAGATATTTCTTGGGAGTCAGCTTCGCAACGGGTTACATTGCTGGTCCAATTCAGGTACAGTGCTCCTTTTGGTCCGGACTCTCCCAATTGCTCTGCTACCGATTTCTCCACCAACGTTAGAGAGGAACCATCGTCTAAGAAAGCGAATGTGTTAACGGTTCCACTTCTCCCCGTCAGCGTTACAGGAACGACTCGGAACAATGTTTTCGATCCATTATCTCGATGCGAATGGTTTTCGGCAGTAGCTGGCTTGACCTTGTTTTCCGTTTTGGAGTGTAACAGCGGATGGTGCTTGAACTCACACCCATCAATCCCGCACTTCGTAGACAATCGACAACGATTCCTCCCGTGCTGGTTGAGACAAGTCCGGCACAGCTTCAAGCTGTGTATTCTGCGCCAACGATTTTCTACGTCGAGATCTAAAAATTGCTTGCACTCCTTGACTCGATGATCCGGTTGACTACAGACTGCGCAATTCCGTCCTGTGGAAGCTGCTAAATTCGCACTGCCACCAGGTGCACTTCCTCCACTGTTCGAGCTGTGCGTATACACCTGTGCTTTCTCCTTTTGATTTCCACCTTTTTTGTGATCACCTGCCCGACGGTCACTAAAGCAATTAACTAACTTAGTCACTTGACTTGCCGCAGTAACCATTTGTGACATGTACGTTGCGAATGTCTGCAATGTAACACCTGTCACGGTTTGTTTGTGCATCGCCCATTGAAGCTTCAGTTGTGAAGGCAGTTTGTCTTCTAGTTCCTGCAACAACGAGGGATTGTTTAAATGAGCGATTTCTCCCGCAGCTACTAGGTGATCGCATAGCCCTTGAAGTTCCATCCCGAACTCGATTAGCGTCTCGAGGCGTTCCATCTTCGGTGCGGGTGCTGAGCGCAATCTGTTCAACAGAGCAGTGATAAGTAACCCGGGTCGCCCGTAGAGCATCTTGAGCGTCTCTATAACTTGAGGAACGGATGCGGGAAGAAGTAACCGGCTGCGAACCGATTCTCGAGCATGTCCTTTCAGGCATCGTTGTAGTCTGACAAGGTTTTCTGCATCACTGAACCCACAACATTGCGTTGTGATGTTGTACTGACTAATAAATATGGGCCAGTCTTCAGGTTTCCCATCAAATTCTGGGAGATCCCGTGACATCACCCGACGAGCTGCAATTTGCACTGAAGAGGGTCCCTGTCCCGGCGCTATGATTTCATCTTCGGTATTGGGTGCTGGACTAGCTTGGGGATTTGTGTATCTCACATTCGCCCGTGGCGGCATTTGCGACGCAGAGGTTCTTTGGCCAACAATATCCAGAGTCTGGGAATTTCGTACTGATGGCTGTGCACATCTAACTCTGCGGTTAATACGAGGGGGAAGGTCAGCTTCCACGTCAGAAGGAACGTACTCGAAAGACATTGGCGGAATAATGATACTGGCGTCCTCATCCGTAGCGTTGCTGGGGGGAACTGGAGGCACTGCTGGGGTAGTTAACCTTACACGTGATTGTCGACGAAGAAGTGTCGCTGATGATTTGTACGGTACGAGTTTCTGATTTACCGGAGCGGATGCAGGATTTTGAGAATACATACGGCTACTCGAAGTAATATGCTGTTGTAGTGTCATAGATTGGTTGACTGCTGAACGTGGTGAAACTAAATTTCTGTTGCGAGAGTGTTCGCCCAGAAGAGTGATTTCCGGATTTGGTGCCGTCCCGGTTTCATTTGGTGTACTGGCTTTAGCCTCCTTTGATCCGTCATTCCTCATCCAGTCGATAATTTTCTCCCGGCTAACACGACAGCGACTCCTATTACTTGCAACGCTCTTTTCATCGTCTGCATCTTGTTCCGCCAACAAAGCGTACTTCTCAAGAAGGAAGGTCATCTCCATCTCTTCTTCTTCCACTATCCGCCTTTTCTCTCGGTCAATCAGCTCCTTCTCAAGATCCATTTCTTTCTGGAATCGATTACGGTGGATTTGCTGTTCGTCCTCCAATCGCTGCTGCGCCAGCGACTTACTGTTGATTGCTCGGGATGACTGGCTGCTGACACTGATTGGTAAACAATTGCTACACACCCAGTGGCGGAGTTCGACAGACCGGGTTACACTGACGCATCTAAAATGGTACCAACCTTCGCATTCTTCGCATTGTACCATGTCGTCAACCCAGTCCGGATGATCACAGGCCATGCAGGCACTATCATAATTGTTCGAGGCAGTGTTGTTGTTATTGGCCATCGTGCCATGAATTCTTAAGTTTATTCCAACGAATAAACTAAACACGAAACACGGTCTTTTAGCAAACGAGCTTAAGCTGGAATTATTTATTTTTATTAGTTTAGATATTCGGTTAATATTGTGTAGTGTAGACTTACAATTCAGTGTAGGCTTCGTATTTTAGGTTAGGCTCGCTAACAATAGAATTCAATATCGTACTATGGGCTGTAAGTACATAACTTTTATAAATTTTACATTTTCATCTGCATATTGTTTTTCTTTAAGTTTTACTCACAATTATACGTCAATTTAATTAATCAAATTTTTGGTATTTGGTACTGCGATTTCTAGCGCGATTAGTTCGCACCTATGATAAATTATAATTAATTGTTTATGTAAGAATATATAGTAATTTTAAGTTACGTTCTTACGTTATCCAGCTGAAATCACTTTGACGTACGGAAATAGCCTCAGCTTACTGTAGTAATACGATTACGTATATAGTGTTAGGAATATTAATAAATTCACTGTATTATTTAATTTCATCTGCCTTCCACGCACTATCTATCACGCATTTAATAGGGCTTTGTTCTCTATTTCCTGAGTTTCTGATGTTCGCCCGTCATCACCGTTTGGAATTAATTCTGCAGAGTTGGTACTATGATACTAACCAGCGTTGCCAGCTTGTACGGCAACACCTGGTGTCCATCGAAAGGGTTGTTGGAGTTGGAGGGTATGAAACGGATAGGCACTAATCGCTGTTACCTCTTGGCGCTAGTAACTAACTAACTATAACTAACACAAAATGCATAAACGTGCTATTAATTGACGTCTGCGGGAAGGTTTAGAGCTGGATGATCTACGCAAGTTTATTCTCTCCACGGAGACTCAATGACCCAAATCTGATAGTGATTTTCCAAACACTGTTATTTCTCTCCATGCTTCAAAAATATTTCAATTTTGTGAACCTGTTTTACCCATTACCTAGAGATCTTAAAAGAAATTCTATAGCGTAGAAATATAGTGGCCATTTGGGATCCAAAAGATTTACATGCTGGTACTGTCGGGATGGCGTGCTTACACCATTGCACAGCGGTTGAAATTTTGCAGGTGATCAATGTTGTAGTCAGCCTAACGGAACGACTGCTGTGGAACGTCCGAAAGATGGTGAAGCTACGCAGAGAGCCTCCGATGTCCGCGTCCTTCAGGGTCCTACCAAATTTGTGGTAACCATCTCTGTCGCAAATGAAACTGCCATTTTGGATCGAAGCGAACAAACTGGTGTACTTGGGTATCTCCAGAGACATCGTGCTCAGTTGGCTTTCCTGGCAGCAGCATTACGCAGGTGATCATTGTAGCACAGAACAGAAGGGGAAGTGCAAACAAATCGATGAATCAAAACGTGGTTCGTTTTTCTGCTCAACAAGCAATGTGTTGTGGTAGCATTCCGCACTGGCTTTCTATGTGCACTCACACTATCATAGCATGCTGCCTATCTTAACTGCAGGCAGAAGATGCCTTCTACCGCTAGGTGCGCTAGTGTTCGCAAATGACAAGTGGAGCCACTTTCTGATCCGAAGTTCCACTCGTGTGACAGATTGTAGTCAAACTCAGCTGTGCAACGTTCGAAGGATGTCGTTGCCGTTGGTAATGCTTCTCATTCCGATGTCCGCGTCCACTTTCTGGGTCTTTCAAATTAGTTGTAACGACTGTCCCACAGCAAACGGAATTGCAACTGATCACGCTCACTGAATTACAGTCTGTTTTATACTTGAAGAATAGCTAATTAGGCCCCTCCCTTTTGGGGTATTTTTCGTCAGAGCGTTCCTAGTTGCAAGTATATGGCAGCATTCACACCAGACCAAGGCGTGTTCCGACCAGCATTGAATTGGATTATTGTGAAAGAACAACTAACGATACTTGACTCTTTCACACCAGTGCAAGTCGATACTTGCCGGATGACGCCCAGTCATGCTGCCTATTGCGGGAAGCCTTTCCTCCGGTTGATGTGGGTGCATTCGTCGTCGTCTTCGTATTGGTGCGATGCGTGCTGTTCCACTCATACGTCGTGTCCGACACTTATCCGTCCGTTGCTCGAAAATAAATGACGAAGAAAACGATTTGGCAAGCGTTTTTATTACCACTGCTTTTCTCCTCCCTTCCCTTCATTGGTGAAATGGTGAGCGGTCAACCGAACGGTGAGCTCGCTCATGTGAGCATGTGCAATGTGTCGTGTGTTTGATTTGCGCTCTATCGCTACGTCCGTGTTTGAGACTTTTCGTTACATGTCTGCACTCGGATTTTTTAAGGGCCCCCAGTATAGAAATTAAAGACGTAGTCCTACGTCAAAAAAAAAACACCCTAAATAACGTTTTCAAAGTTGTTGAACAGGTTAAAGGGAAGTTACGCGACGCCACTGCGTTAAATCCAGTGCTGTTACAACAGGCGCAAATTTCGCGGATTTTTAAAATCGCGGAAACATTAAATGATGTCGCGAAAATCGCGAGGGACTGATGTACTATCACAAAAATTGCGGATTTCATTTTAATGTAGCGAATTGTTTATGGTAATTTCTAGGAAAAATTATCACGATTTTCTTTTTATAGTGTATTATAATGATGTACAGAGCAGTGATGCCAACATGGCGTTTTTTTTCGATTTTTTCTTCACGTATGACCAAATGCTAAACGTTGTCTAGCGAATTGGTTGTCTGGTGTATTGAATAATATCAGATAGCAACATGTAATCTAATACCAAATAGGTATAATCAAGCCAACGACGACCATTTAAGGTGTATCCGGTGACATTTAGCGGTTCTGGGGTTCTGGAATTCGGTTCCGTGAATTCCAAAATAGGGTTTGTTATAACATTATTACATTAAAAGTAGCCATATCATGTCAACTGACAATGGGGTCCAGGTAAATGAAGACTATTTGAGGTGATTCCTTTGACATTAGTCCACATTAGCATCGGTTCCGGGGCTCTGTAATTTCGATTTCCGTAGGCTATAATTATATTGGAGAAAACCATATCCTGCGGGACTTCAAATCATAATAAAATGTGAATATTATGCCATCGAAAACAGAGTAGTGTGTTCGATGACATATTGGAATCGGTTTCAAGGGTCCCAGAAACTGGTTCTATAGACCATCGTAAAAATTCAAAATAATCATGTTGCATGTCAAACTGACAAGGTAAGATTATTGAAATTAGCTTATGGTGTATCCGATGACATATGGCCATATTGGCTGGCATCGGCTCCTGGGGTCCCAGAATCTGTTCCTTTAGATCATAGCGAAGTTTGAAGCAAACTAATAATGCAGCAAGTCAAATCATGAAGCACGAATGAGATATGGAAAATGCATACTATTCGAGATGATTCTTTGGACAAATTTGGGAACTTTCAAGTAGCTATGAAAACTTCAGAATAGTCCATTCCATATTCAACGGAGATTTTCATTGAAATATTCCTCAAAATTTTGGTGAAGCTATCATCCGAATTCAGTTTTTTTGTTTTCCTTAGAATTTCCTTGAAATTCTCCACAATAAGAAACCCTTTCAAAAGATTCTCCGAATATTCATTGAATTCATTTCCTTTTCAATCTCACTCCTTCACATAGAAAGTCTCATAAGAATTTATTGGCATTTCTCCTCACAAATTCCTTAGATTTCTTCTCATAATTTGTTTAGCAAATTCTCCTGAATTAATTTTCCGAATTTGAAGATGCCCTGGAGTTATTCTCAGATTTAATTGTTATCCTCCTTTTAGTATTTTCAAAAAAAAAAATCCAAGCACTCCTTGGATTCGTTTTCTCCCACAAACTTTATGAAGTTATGCTCAGAATGCCCTTGGAATTTTCCTGTGAAGCTCCCAGAAGTTGTGCTCCTAAGAGTTTTAATTAAAATTTACTTTTAGGTCACATTTTAGTCACTATTTTTACAAATATAAGTCACTATTTGGTTACTGTCGATAGCAATACAAAACAAAAATCAGTGAACTTTATAAATTAATATAATTTATGATTTTTTAACAATGACAGTTAACAACGTAGTACTCTACTACATACATTGTATTACTGCAAAAAAAAAACGCCTCCAACCAGCGAATCCAAACACATAAAGCAACCAACGATACAGACAAAACGGTTGCTACGACTACCATGACAAACTCGCTCTGTAACAAAGCTCGATCCGAGTGGTAGAAGGATAATGATATATTGCTTGCCTGCTTTGTTGCAATATACACGGATGAGGACATAGCTTGATATGAATCGGGAAAAGACATAACAAAAAAATTCCCATTAACACACGTGTATCATCTTCGGCTTTACTTCGTGAAGCAGCTTGCCAACAATTTGCTCGTTTCCTTCTACCGCCCCGAATGAGTCGGGTCGCACGAGCTGCTTGTCATGAAAAAGAACGGTGAAGATTATATCATTATTGTTTTCAACTTCTGACATAGCGTTATTATTCGGTTCGTTGATCGCTTGTTATTTTGTCATTTGGAGATATTTTTGATTCCTTGCCTCCAACTAATTTGAAAGGTATTTCGTTCCGAACAGCTGGCAGCGAAGGAATAGTTCGGTGAGTTTTGTGCTAAACACTATCCGTTCGCTTGCGTTGCTTCCTACAAAGTAATAACATTAAGCATCATCTACGACCTTTGACATTCTCGGTGATCCATCTCGTTTGAGCATACGGCAGCCATGTACGTCTGTGGTAGCAGATCGCTCCATGCAGCTGTATGTATGTATCCATGTAATATGGTCTCCCTTCTCTGGAGAGTTCGAGTGTTTGATGGTTTCGCTTCCGAAGCACAATTGACAAGTAGCTAGTCCTAGCAGGATAGAGACGTAATGTGATGGGTGGTAAAATATACACGGCTACGTGAACATAACAACCTCAACTCTGAACAGCGAAACACTTGTGATGTGGGCAGAAGAAAGGGCCTTGGTTCGTTTATGCCATACCGTTTCGCTTGAGCTCATTATGCCTCGATGGAACCTTCATTAAAGTTCAAT